TGACCCTTATATGCCACAATATGCTAAAAGTTCATGTCATTCCCTTCACTTGTTCTCTTTACAGGGGCTTTGTATCACGGCACATCATCCAAAGAAGAAAATGAGTACAATATAATATCTTAAGATATGTGAATACAGTGATGTTGTGAGAGAGATCATATTTCCTATAACTTTCATTATGGTGTGATTTCACTACTTGCTCTACTCTATTCCTCATATTATTCTTAATCTTTTACTGTTAATAATTTAGAAGTTTAGCTTAATCACAGATATGTATAAAATGTGGAGTATGTGAAGAGCACAGTACTATCCATGGATTAAAAGATCCGCTGGGGACAGTAGGGTTTTTCCCCAGCAGAGAAGGGAGAAGAGATGAGGACCATTGCGGTGGCAAAAACGCCTTTTTCCAGTGTTGTGGCACTCCACACTGCTAAAGGAGCTGGAAACACTTTAGAATATCAGGTTGGCTTCCAATTGCTAATCAAGTCAGGTTGCCTTTTGTAAACTAGACACTATAGTAGGGGTACACAAGGGATTAAATGATATTACTTACCGAGTCACCCTTTTAATAGGTATGAGAAAAATTTCATCCAAAAGGGAAGTTTGATCTTGAGTTAAGGACCAGCCCCTTTTGTGCAGGCTGTCTCTGCACACAAACTACTGGAGAAAAATGAGTATTACTCTATTGACGAACACATAAGTCACTGTCACCTTGTCATAATTGCATTGTACAAAACAAGACTAGTACTGCCTTGCTTTCACAAAAAGGAAAAAAGGTCTGTTTCCCATGTCCCATTTATGATCTTGGTAATACGGGTAACAGTATAGATATTTTGATATAGGTTAATTTTTACTGATTTGCTTTACTGTGTAATGTAATAGTAGTCATTATTGCCCATATAATTATACAGCATTCATTTTTGTTATATTTTTTAAAAATATTGTATTAAAAAAGTCTTCATTATGTTAACTACTGCAAGTATAAAAATGACAGTGCACTGACCATAAAATAGTTTTTTGTATTTCCAGTAGTTCCCCTTTATCCATTGTTTTCCTTTTCCTGGTTTCCATTACCTGCAATCAATCAAAGGCTGAATATAATAAAAGGAAAATACCAGAAATAATTCATAATTTTGAAATGCAGATCATTACAAATAATGAAATAACATTTTACACCATCTTATTGTTTCCATCCCAGCACACAAATCATCCTTTTGCCCAAGGTATCCATGCTGCCTATTATAGTTTCCATTATTTTTCATGAATAAGCTGGTTATTTATTCAATTTTATTTTTATTTAGTGGACCAAAACAGTAGTTTGAAGAAGGCAATGCCAGTTTTGCTTTACCTGAGTTTCTAATTGTCCCCTAATATCTCAGAGCTGATCCATTTCAATAGTATGAAAATATAGACAATTTACATAATGCCCTGTGGATGGTCCTTTTTAATATAATGTTGACTGCATAATTACTATTTCACCAAACTTTTGTAGCCTTAAAAACAGGCACTGAGGCGCAGAAGCTTAACAGCATCAACTTGATAGACTGGGAGGTTTATCAAATATTCACTTCAGGGTCGGTCAAGGAGGTGTGATTTGGATACTGTATGTGGTCCCTGGCACATTTTTGTTGGTTATTGTCCTCATGTTCTCTTTTCTCACTGTTTTGGGCTAAGCATCCTTGTTCTGCAATGCTATTCTACCACACAATTTTTGCCTTACTGTAAGCTAAATTCAACTTTTGCTCTTTTATGTTGTGGGTATCACAAACTGTGTCCCAGGGACAGGAAAGATGACAAATATACAAAATAGGTAACAAAAATAGGATCCTATGCCTGACTATCTGGCTTAGAAGAAGCCTTTGAAGAGGTGAATAGGAGGTGTTTGAAAAGGTTTGGTGGTGCAAGCTACAGAAACCTTAGAGTGACATAAACAGAACCTAATGGATGATTCTGGTTAGAGCTCCGAAGACCAGAATTTAGACAGGAATGTGAATAAAACAGTGAAGGCTTGGCTGGTTCCAGTGGCACTCGGACTAAGGGCCATGTGTGTTAACTCCAGCAGAAAATTTCTCTGTATTTTTCCAAATGTCCTGAGACTTTGCAGGAGGCTGAGTTTCAGGGCTATAGATTAATTGATGTGGTGATAGAAATTCATGGTAGACCAACATTCACACTTCCATCCAATTTATAGTGACAATCAGGAGTAAAAGGCAAAACAGAACTACTTGGAAATCTTGTTTTGACCTACAGGGACCATATGTAAAAATGAAGGCAGAGGAGGTGTGGCTTCTAAAGAGACTGGACTCATTAAAAAGAAAATAAGGGAAAAGAAAAAAATATGAGAAAACAAAAAAATGGAAAAAAAATTGTAAATAGGGAAGGGAAGAGGGGGTGAAGGGAGGGCAGGAGAAAAATGAGAACCAAAACCTGTCATGTAAGATACAAGATCCCAATGATGATTGTAACTGTACTGTATACCTAAAAAATATCAATAAACTCAATGATTGAAAAAAAAAAAAAAAGAAACTAGGGGCTGGGATTTAGCACAGTGGTGCTACAGCCTGCCTTGCAAGCACAAGTCCCTGAGTTTGATCCCTGGTACAAAAAACAAAACAAACAAACAAACAAACAAAAACAAGTACTTCATATAAGCATGAAAAGAAAGATGCCTTGAAGGGATCTTAGGAGTCAGCAAGACTCCAAAAAGCACAGGTTCAAAAGTGCAAAAGAATAAACTTTGATTTAAGAAGTGAGCCTCTTCACCTCCTGCTCAAGGAGGGGCTCCTGCGGAATTTCTTCCCCACGATTCACTTCAATGTGTTCAGCCATCTTGGCTTTCAGAGGCCACTGCAGTCATGGTCCAAGGGGCCCTAGCTATTCCTTACACTGGTAGTCAGAACTTGATGTCATTTACATAATGCTAATTTTGCCAGCATGCAATATTCAAGTGTTTAGGAGTCACCGGGGCTTCTGTCCAGATTTAATAGGAAGGTCTGAGAATCTAGCCAATGGGCTTCTCTCAGGACAATGTGCAAGCCTGTGGAAATGAAGTGAGTCAGAGATGGAGGAATATGGAATGTCTGCTGAGGAAAGCAGTGGACTATGAGTGGAGTCAGCCCAAGAAAAAGGTAACCTGGGCTGTAATCAACAAGATTATAGGGGTGGCATTTCCCAAGGCCTCTGGAACTCACATTTTACCACCATATGCCCTGGAGAACAGAAATGGGAGTCTCTTAACTTAATATTTGACCTACTGACTTTTTATCTAGACTTGGTCGGATTGTTTTCTGTACCCCTACTCATCCCTTTTAGAATGTCATTGTTCCTTGCTTCTGATTTTTGCAGATGTTCACAGCTATGTTTTTCCTTGAATCTCAGATGAGACTTGGAAAACGCTGCAAATATTGAGATCTTGATGAAGGGATTATGTTTTGGTTTTACATAGAAGAGGTATCTTGTGTTTGGAATTATGATCTTTTTGTTTATTTGGGGATTAAGTGTGGTTTAAAGTGGTGGATTTGGATGTCAAGTTGACAGAGTGGAATGTGATGGATCAGCTTAGTAATGTCAATCCCATTGGCTGGGGACCCAGTAAGGAGCTCCTAAGCCATGCTGGGCATGTCTGAGTAGCTCGTGGAAGCTTGACTTTGTATATTGTTACCTGCTGCCTCCCTCTGTAGTGCCGTTATTCCCAATCTGCTTTTCCATTGCTGTGAACTCAGTGCTCTGCTAAAGCCCTTCCATGATGATGTTTCTGCCTTGGAATCAATTCACCAAGGACTGAGATGTTTTAAACAATGAGACACATTAAATCTTTCTTCTTTTAAATTATGGTTGTCAGGCATTGTAAGATCTGTGCCCTTCCACTAATTTATGGTGAACAACATAACCCAGGATTTTTTCCTCATTCTTGAAATTTATCTTGTCAGACAATTTAAGGAAACAGATACTTTTTAATGTGTCTCACATTTTACATTAAAAAATAAAATACTAACATGCTAGAAGAACTTCTGTATCTATTCTATTGGAAGGAATGTAACAAAATAAAATTATTATGTCTAATGCATTGACAATTAGGAAAATGCACACATGGTGAATAAGGGTTGATAAGGGTTCACATGATGTAGTTTCAAATGCTCTGATTTGTTAATAATTGTTCTCTGAGTCCTGAGTTAAAATCATTAATTCTTACACTTTTTCATTCAACAAGTACTTACGGGGAATATGGCTTATGACTCGAAACTTTACAAGATTCTAGTGGTTGCTTAAACAAAAGGTTCTAGGGCTATAATCGGGTCTTATTTCAAACACAAAATGACTAGGGCAGACAGTAATTTATTAAGCTGTGAAGGGTGATGAATATTTTGTTAGGAAACTTTCTTTGCAAGAGGAAATATTCTAATTAGGAATTGTTATCAGTGGAAATGAATTTCAACAGCAGACATTACAGAGAGAAAGAATATAATAAGCAAAATAGCTAAAATAATATATTTACATGTGTGTGTGTGTGTGTGTATGTGTGTGTACATGTGTGTGCGAGGATGTGGGACTTGACAGATTGTGCTCTACAACTTAATTTCTGATTCCATTCCAAATCTATTTTGCCATTTATAATGTGAGACAATTTGGACACAGAAATCTGCGGCATTTTTTTAAACTTAGGAAGATGTTATATAAATATTTTATTTCTATGAAATCCTAAAAGCAACCTTACACTAAAGAGATGAAAAGAGATACACACTTATATTCCTGACGCAGTATATCTCCTGATTAAAACAAAAGCTAAACTTTCAATGTTAATTTACAGATATGCTAAGTACTCTCTTAGGATGTAAATTACTACTAGAGTAAGTCACAATTTTTAAACCTGATGGTGTCAACTTATTTGGCTTGTAAGTTGAATGAGGGATACATAAAAAGGACTTTGGGGTGTGTATGGGCAGATGGTGGAGGTGTGACCTGGGTACGATGTGTGCCAGCAGGACTTCCCTTTCTTGCAGTGTACTGCTCTACTTGCCAGCAGCCATGAACTAAGTGGCGTTGCTCTGCTGATCTCTTCTTTGACGATGTCCCTACCTCAGAAGCAGCCTACCGTAAACCAAATCCCTTGAAACCGTGAGTCAAGTTAGGTGCTCCCCTTTAAATTGTGATATTGCATCCCAGGGATGAGGAAGAGTGGCTACAAATTTGGAAGCATTGTCAGAGAGTAGGGTGAAAAATAAGTGATACTAGTTTTTATTCATGGTATTGAAGAACAACCCATGTGCTGTAAGTAAATTCAAGTTGCATATAGAAAATTCATGCAAATTAACCTATCGGAGAGACTTTATTTCATCTTGCAGAGATTGAAAAAATTCAGGAAGATTAGACCAGCAGAATAAGGTCAAGTATAACTTCAAATTCAATTATACCTTCAATGCTGAAAACCTCTAACTTCTGGAAACGCAAAACAAGGGAAAGAATCTGGTAGTGAACTTTTCTAGTTAAGTGCTGTGGAGAATGATTTCCTGATTGAAGTCATTGTGCTAAACTCAGCATCAGAACTATCTAAATAAAAGTGGATTGACTTAGAGTTAGTATATGGGCTATGGATACACTAATTTGAAAAATACTGGAAAGATTTAGGTTGCATTATTATTCATTATTATTTGGAAATATGTGGGCACTGTTATTATTATTATTATTATTATTATTATTATTATTATTATTAGGTACTGAGGATTGAACTCAAGACCTTGCACTTACCAGGCAGGTGCTGTGCCACTGAGCTAAGTCCCCAGGCTTTCACTGACATTCTTTATGGAATGATATAGGCTTGTTGACATGAGGTTACTTTAAGAAATAAAAAGTTTGCTGATTTAATTTGTTGGAAACATGTGTTAAACTAATATTCCCTAACATATTTTCAAATAACATTCAATTCACAATAATTTAGTTTTAATAGTGGAAGTTTAGGAACAAGCATCAAGTCTGTAAAAAAAGATATGTCTAAGCATATTCTACAATGAATTTTCTTTGATTTGTGGAGTACAACATTACAAAGAAATAATACTAATTGCAGTGTTTGGTCAAGAATTCATCGCTCTTACATGATCCTAGCCCAAAAACTGACACGTAGACCAATGGAATGGAAATACAGAAGACAAAATTAGATCCATTCATTTATAGTTAATCGATTTTCACCAAAGTGGCTACACACACACAATAGGGAAAGGACCATCTATTCAGTACATGTTGTTGAGACAACTGGACAACCACACGAAAAAGAATGAAACTAGACCCTTATCCACAGCATACACAAAATTCAACTCAGAATAGATTATAAGTTTGAATGTCAGACCTGTAAATTTAATACTATTGAAAGAAATATAGGGGGAAAGCTACATGTTATAGTTTATGTCTAGATGTCCCCCCAAAGCCTCAAGCACTTATAGGTGATTTTTAAAAAAATAAACCTATTTGTAGAATATTTAATGGATGCAAAATAATGCCTACTCAATAGAGTTGTTGAAAAAAATAAGCTATTTGACTTACAGTACTCACCTTAGTGTTCAACAAAAATGCAACAATTATTCTTTTTTATTGATTACTTTTATTGGTACATTTTAGGAACACAGTATGTTGACATTTGTTACTGGGAATTTGTAACTTTACATAATATATCTTGGTTCTCATTTTTCCCCATTCCCCTGCCCTCCATTCAATGCCCCCTGTATTTTGTTCCTTTGCTTCTTTCCTTTCATCAATCCCTCCTACTTCCTCTCCCTTTGGCACCCTTTTTCCCCTATTTCAGATTATTTATTATACATTTTTAATCCTTAGTTACACTTTCAGTTTAGCACACCAGTGAAACTATTTGGTATTTAACCATGTGTGTCCTATTTATTTTACTCAAAGAGTA